GCCCATGGTTATGTAAATGTCCTCCCTGGAAAATCTACATGGCAAGTTTTTGGGAACAGGCTGTACTGGATTTGCAAATTCTTGTGAGTTTTAAATGATTTCAAAATAAAACATTTTTATTACCAAAGAGACTAGATAGTGCAGTTGTTTTCACCTATAACTTCAGCAGTGGCCTGCCTCTTTCATCTTCCAGCCCATCTTGAGCAGCCCAGTGCCGCCTGACACCTATAGGGCACTGTGAAATTCCCCCCCCCCTTTTTTTTCTGTATTTTAGGGAAGGGTCTACAGGGTGTTCAGGGTCTCACTACTAGATCGGACTCGTAGTGATCTGCCTGTTTGCAGCCTCCCAAGAGCTGGGATTATAGGTGTGCACCACCACGCCCAATCTCAGTGCTGTCTCAACGTGCCTTGGAGTCAGGGCTAGCAGGACAGACCTGGGGATCAAACCCCTGATCCCTGTGCCTGCTTGCAGGTGCTTTAATCTGCTGAGCTATTTGGCCAGCCCTGAAATCCCATTTTTAAAATGCTCTTTCCACTTCCATCTTCACAATCCAGGTGAGGACATCAAGACACCAAGGTAGAAAAGATCCCTCCTCGGGGGCTATTAACGGGAACACAGAGCCCGGGAGACGCTCAGTTCCTACTGCTCTGTGCGAATCATCGTGAGTCACCATTCTCCAGCTCACACTTGTTTCTTTTGTCTGCCCAGCAAACTAATGGGGCTGGCAGTTTGCTGCCTTCCAGCAGCGGGAAGAGAGAATCACTGTACAGGGTGGTGGTCTGGGTTGGCCAGAACTTGGACATGTGCCACGCAGGGCCATGGCCAAGTGACCTCCTCCTCGAGGGTACAGGTGAGGGGTGCAGGGAGCAGGACCCAGGTTAGAGAAGGACTCCCGGCCCTCTGCCTGCTGACCATCAGTGGGGACTGACACTGACTGTCTTCCTTTCTGCTTCCATTCAGTTCCAAGTCACTGAAGTACTTTGGGGAAACTTTAGACACTTTTTATTCCAAATGTAAAACAATGCCTTATATTCGTCCGGCAACTCTGAGTCGGCCTCACCCCCAGCTGCAGACTGGATTTATTTCTGTTTCCTAAATAAGTGACCTGCCTGGCTTCTCAAGGTCACTCCTGATGGGCAGGAGTCAGAAGGCAGTTCTCCAGAATCATGGGAAACCCAGAATGCTGCTCTTCTCACAAGGGACGGCCTTGCTCTGAACAGTGGCCTCGGGGCTGGTAAGGTGCCTGTACGTGCTTCATGGTCAGCACTATGAGTCCTGCTGTCGTAGTTCATAAGCCGCATCTCTGGCCAGGTGTGTACTTTGGGGCACGAAGGACTATGGGACTTGGTGGCTCTCCAGAGTCACACAGGAGGTGGAAACGATGGCTTCCTGGCTTCCTATACCTTCCAACAGTTAGAGCTTGAAGATGCCATATGGGTGGCAGATGAGTAAGACTTAGGTTTTCCTGAAAAGTGAGGCACATGCCTGTGGGCCACGTCAGTAGAGATCTACATGACAGTCAACTGGCAGGACAGCCACCCTGGGGCTGCCTGACACACACACACTCGGGGGGGCTTCGAGTGAACTGACATTATTTATTTACTGCCAGTTGTTGATGCCTCATTTCTGCAGAAATCTGATTGCTTCCTTTCCCGCAGCGTTCTTTGCCCTCCGCATTGTGGGACACAACCTTCACTGTCAGCATGGGAATCGTTAATCAGGGCTGACGCTAACCTGTGCCTTCTGCACTCCTCTGCACATCCTGGGTGTTGGGAAACTCGGTGGACTGCATTCATATTGGAGGTCTAAGTCCATGTCTCACTTCATATTCACAGCTGCCACTTGCTGGGAGAAATCGTCTTTTGAGGCGTGTTGTGATTTTCCACACCCATGGAGGTGTTTGAAAGGTAGACTAGTGGCCTGCTTCTAGAACACTGGAAGCATTTGCACATATATTCAGCTAGTACCTGTTGAATGAGCTTCTAGATGGTAGTTCTGTCTTTGGTGTGCCTGCCCATCTTGGAACGTCCTGTTAGAACACAGACGGGGGCTGGGGAGATGGCTCAGTAGAATAAGCGCTTGCCTGACAAGCACGAGAGCCTAAAATCAATCCCCGGTTCAAAAAAAAAAAAAAAAAAAAACCCAGACGGGAGGCCCTTTCCACTGAGTTTCTGATTCAGTCTATCCAGTAGAAGAAATGTAACTTGTATTTGCAACAAGTTTCAGGAAATGTGATTTGATATTGGGAGAGCCCCTTGAAAACCATGATCCAAAATCAGGGATTAAGAAATTTTTCCTGTAACAGAAATATAGATATAAATATTTTAGGCTTTGTAGTCTGCCCGGTCTCTGTCACAACTATTCCCTTTTGCCACATGAGCCACAGAAAATAGGTAACTGAGTGAGCATAGCCAGATTCCAGTAAAATTTTATGTATAAAAACAGATGGTGCACTTGTTTCAAAAAATCATGTTACAATATAGAGATTTTAAAGTGGATAAGTCAGATCCTTATTCTGGATACATCTCTGAAAACTCTTCCAGTGAGAATGAGATGCTGGTCCGGTCCCGCAATGGCATTCATGAGCCACGTGACTGTAGGAAGGTTATTAGCATCTCTTTAAAAGGAGGTAACGATTGTACAATGAAAGGTGGGGAGGAATGCACACTCAAAGTCTGGGTGGTGAATCCAAGAGCGTTTGGTTGATTGTTCTGTAATCTTTAGGCTGTTCTGCTGGAGTGGGGGCAGCCAAAAGGTAAAGTAACTTACAGTTGAAGGCATCTTTGGATCACCCACACTGAATCTCTTAGAAAGTCAAAACCAGAAGCAGCTTTCATTGTTTCTCTTTGCCTTGGAGGAGCACTGGATTAGAGGAAGCTCAAGCATAATATGTTCAAAGCTAAGCTCTGTCTCCTTGCCTCCCAGACCCTGTCCCTTTGGGGGTCTTCCTTCATTTGGTCAGTGGTGACTGTCTTTCCAGCTGCCCAGCCACAAAGAGTGATTCAGGAGGAAGCATTTAATGAGAATGCCTCTTGATATGGATGTGCTGAGTGTGAAATTGCTTGTAGTTCAAGAGGAACATAAAGAGTATCTGGCCCAACCTCCTTCTTTAACCTGTAGTGAACACAGTCCTAAGAAGCCTGAAGCTCCCCTCCTCTCTATGCATGGCACTCACCCTACACACAGCATCATTCTTAGTATTTTGTAAAAATCCATTTGTTCTGTCCTCATAACAATGACCAAAAAAAGTGCTTCTGATTTCCAAGTTTGCAGATGAGGCAGAAAGGACAGTTGCTTTGTTCAAGGTCATCATGCTTTTGGGCAGCAGCAGAACCTGTGCCAGAGCTCTAGAATCCAGGCTCTTGAACTTCCCCATCTGTAATCTCTCTGTAAATAGAAGACCACAACTTTACTTAGAAAAGCAGATGTCTAGCTGCACCTTTTGCCTCTGTGTGGTCTTTAGGTACCAAGCGTTCCATGGTGTTGCGGAAGGGTATTTCAGTGCATTCCCAGGTTCCATCTGATCTCAGTGGGCTGAGTTTCCCTGTACAAACGCAAATAGTGCTCTGGACCTAGTGCTAAAGCAGTACGAGGTCCCCGTTGGTTTGGGCGTGTGTCTGGCTTCATAGTACATTGTGTGCCTGGAAAGCTTGTACAAGAGACTTCCTGAAGGATCCAGATCCTGAGTTGTCTGGTTCAGCTTGAAAAACAAGTTTTGTGCCAGTTTCATGCCTCCTCTTTGCCACCGTCCATTCCAGGCACTAGAGAACTAGAAATACTGAATCTTTTAAAGTACCGCGGTGAGCTGGGTACAGTGGCACATGCCTTTAATCCTAGCACTCTGTAAGCCTTTGGACAAATGACTTATCCTTTCCCCCTCTTCACAAGTTTGAGACCAGCCTGGGCAACTTAATGAGACCTTGTCTCCAAGTAAAAAATAAAAAAGTGTTGGGGATATAGGTCAGTGTGAAGGCCTAGGTCATCCCCACTGCTGTAATGCAACAGCAACAACCAACACCAGTAGGCCAGGAGGGATAGGTTTGGTGGAAACCTTGGCATGTGTAAATTATGCCTGAAAAGAGAAGAAACATGGGTATCTGTTAGATTAAAACATGAGGTGGCAGGAAATCCTGCTGCCTTTGTGTGCTCCACAGAACAGTACTGTCTGGTATCATCAAATTCTGGCAGTGAGGATGGCGCCTGAACTCGGCTCACTCCAGAAACATGGCCTTTTCATTCCTGGAATGAGCATTCTGGTTTTTTTCCTCCCCCAGGACCCCAGGAGCAAGCACAAGTTTAAAATCCACACGTATGGAAGTCCTACCTTCTGTGATCACTGCGGATCCCTGCTGTACGGGCTCATCCACCAGGGGATGAAATGCGACAGTAAGTAGGTTTTCTTTCCCAGCAGAGGGAGAAGCTCTGTGGCTCCCATCCTGGGCCTGCTGAGTGCTGCAAGATCGCTAACTTCTCAGCACAAAGTCACCACGCTGGGAGAACTGGCTCAACTCAGATCAGACTGAAAAAGTTAGATCTTTCCACTGTCCAGATTTCTTACCTAATGGTGAACCAAAGCAAGGAATGGTGCATAAGTTAGTGGGTGCTGTCACTTTTTTTTTTTTTTTTTTTTTTGGTAGTAGAAATCTTCACCCTCTTAAAATGCAGGCTACTCAAACCCCAAAGAAGACTCCCCACCTCCAGATTCCACATTTGGTTAAGCTTCAAAATAAGCTGAGCAACCCTAGTCATTATCTTCCTGTGTCTCTAATTAGTGGGTGGACTGTGGAAAAATCCAGCAGGCTCTCTTTAAAACTGAAGCGCAAATGAACATAAAAACCAGGATAGCATCTCGCTTAAGTTTACTCATCCTGCCTGTTCATGAGGAGATCAAGTGTCTATCGGTATAGTTCTACCTGAAATCACTGAGGACAAATGACGAGAAAGACGCGAGCCCTTTTATTTTGTCTTGTAGTTCTCTCCATCAAATATCAGAAGGCAAGAACAACTAGGGAAGCTCTTTGTTTTGATAATTCTTCAATTATGGGTTCCCAGGCTAATCATTTAAATACAAGGGGATGGCTCTAGGACATGAAAAGGCCAGTACCAGGGCTCCTCTGACAGACAAGCAAATGTTAGGGAATTCCAGCCTCTCTCATTCATTGATGACTGCAGTAGAGCCCAGAGCTGTCTGTCCGTCTCCTAGCCCATGGGACAAGCACTGTGCATAAAGTCGGTGCGTGTGACCATTAGGGAGCAGGTGGAGGTCTCCTCAGCTCGGGGTGGTTCACCTTGCGAAGCTGCTTGAGTGCAAGTGCATCTCTCCATGTATTTTTCACTATCTTGCAACTTGGAGCTTAAGTGATATGCACATATGTCACATCCATGCCAGCCTTGACAGAGTTGGAGACACCCTGGAAAGCTGACATGGTGAGCCGCCTTTCTGGGGCGGAACTTGCAGTCGAGTTCCCCCCTTTCCCCCACTTAGCTGAGGAGGGTCCCGGGCTGCTCTCGCATGCTACTGCATGCTGTTCTGTGCACGCTCTCTTCTGCTGCGTGCAGGACTTAGGGATGCTGCGCATCCGTAACGGGACACGGAAACAGATTGTTGGGGTGCTCAGAGGTATTGTCTAGTCTGTTTTCTCTTGCTGTAAAAGGATCCCTGAGACCAGGTATGTAGGAAGATGCGAGGCATATTCAGCTCGCAGTGGTTCAAGGTGTGATACAAGAACGCTGGGAAGACTCTGGTTATGTCATAAAATGACAAGAGGGCTTCACTCATAGAGGCAGAAGAGCTGCTGGCTCAGACCTGTCCTTCTCTTCTTTCGAGGCTGTTAATGGCATCCTCAGGGCCTGGCCCCACAAAGTCACCTACTGGATTAACTCCCAAAGTTCCTGCCTGCAGGTGCCATTCACATGGGCTTGGGGTGAGGTTTCCAAGCTTTTGAGGGACACGTTTGGACCACAGCAGGTACCAACTAATAGCTTTAGATGGTTATTTTTAGGTCAGAAGAGTTTGTATTTGAATAGTCTTACAATAAATGAATGGTATAATTTTAGTCTATTAACTAAATTTATGCTAATAAAAAGTACTCATCTGGTTTATTTATTAGGATCCTGCTTTAGATTTTGTTTGAAAAATTGATTCTACTAAAAAATACTGAAAACCGCTGACCTAGATCAGGACTCTTTCGTTTTGTTTTAAACTCTCGCTTGGACTTTTAGCGCTTCAGGGCTCCTTCAGGGAAGCCGAGGAGCATGTGCAGATGGGCGCGCAGCCGCGGCCTCTCCTGCGCCTGCACCTCAAGAGGCTGTAAGCGCCTGTGTGCAGCTCCACCTGGTGGGCAAAATGTGACCTGCTGCCCTGCTGGGCCCGCCTCGCAGAGCAGCAGCTGGAGCTGAAAAGCCATCTGTGTGGCCTCGAGAAGAACGCAGCCCAGAGCTCTTCAGCCTGCGCCTGCCCTGCTGCCCGGTTCTCCCCAGAAGCCGTGGCGTCTGCTCCCTGTAGACTGTCTGTCCTGCAGGACACTTGAAGGCGGGACTCGGCTAGCTCAAGGTACACTCGGAGCACAACTTTCCAAGTGTCCTAATCCTGGCTAAGCCGAGGCACAAGATCTGGAAAGGTTAGTTTCAGAAGGGCAGCCGAGCAAGACCTCGTGGGCAGACCTGGGACTCCTGTTCCTCTCTCTGCCTATCATCCTGCTCTCAGGGCTTTTGTTTTTTAAACATTGTTTGAAAGGCATTTATTTACATTTTTAAAGATTCCGAAATCTAAACATGGACATGAAAATAATTCATAGGCACTTTATGTAATAGACGTTGATGGCGTACACACTTTGCAGACATAATCACTGATCTATTCATGAAAGATGCACTTTTGAGCAGACAGATCACATCCACAAGAGATCAAAAATGAGCCGTATAGCACAGAACACCCCAGCTGGCGGCTCACGCCCAGCTTCATAGCTGCAGTCCCCTGAAATACGTGCTGTGAAGGACAAATCTAAGCCTTGAGAAGATAGATCAGAAAGTGCAGAGGGTCGGCGCCACAAACGCAGGTCTGGGAGACCCGGCTCCCGACGCCCACCCCTTCAGTGAAGAAGCGCTGAGCTACAGCCCTGCCTTTCAGTTCTGAGGTAGGGTCTTGCCACGTTGCCCAGGCTGGCCTTGAGCTGGCCTTGAGTCCTCCTGCCTCAGCCTCTTGGGTGGCTGCGATTACAAGTGTGCACCACCACATCTGGCAGGAAATGTCATGCTTCCCAGGTACAGGCATAGCAGAGGACATGTCTTTGTTTACCAAGGAAGTTTCAGTGTTTTTGGACACAAGCATAATACTTATACACAAACTCATTGTTATGATAATACATTTATGCAGAATAAAACTTATTTTTTTAAAAAAAGCGCAAATCAAATAAGAACTGTCTAGAAGTCTGTGTATAACTTAGATTTCTGGTACTGAATATGATGAACCCGACTGCTGTCAGTGTTCCTTCAGAGCAGGCAGGCATCGTGCGTGACGCGCTTCACACCTTACTGTGCCATGTTAACATCAAACACTGGAAATGAAAGGACTGGGAGGGCGGCACCGAGCACTGCAGAATAAGCTCGCTAGCTTCTCCTGGAGGAGTCACTGGGATGCAGTGGCCATCCCCCCACCGCCCCGAGAAGCCGAGGGCACGAGGATGGCAGGCCTAGGACGCCTCCCGTCTGTAGGCAGCACGCAGGATTCCTTGCAGGGTTTCTCTGGTTCACGGCAACAAGACTGATCTTTTTTTATCCTCCCCCTGTCTCGCCCACATAATGTCAGCTGTAAGGAATGGCTTCTGCCAGCTGTATATTTGTTTTACTGGGAATAATATTTAAATATTTGAAGGCAGGCTTAAAATATCAAACTCAAGTTCACGTTAAAAAAAAAAAAAGGCAACATACTTACACCTTCTTGAAAACACAGGGTTAGTTGAAGAAAATAAAATTTTATGAATTTCCTGTAATCAACCCCCAGATTGTCACTTTCTATGTTGAACTCAGTAAGACAGAAGGAATCATTTGGCAAAAAGTATCCCCTGTTTAAAATTTGCATATCATACGATTTGTGTTCACAAAATATTAATTAGTCTGACTTTGTATACATTTACCTATGTGGATTTTGTTAAATATTTGAAGCAGTCACAGAAGACCAAGTGGGTATTTTGCTTCTGTAAAAACTGAGCAAATATGGGATGGATATTTTAAGGGTATTGTCACTCGTGCATAGCTTGTGCTGGAAGGGACATCTGTTAACCGTTCTCAATGTCACCAAAAACGCTGTAGCGAAGTATCGAGCTGGAGGGAGCTCGCTGCCACTTTTCCTCAGACGCCAGCACATGGAGGCAGGGATGAGCATCCAGACAGCCACCCTGACCCTTTGCTTTCTCCATTCACAGCCTGCGACATGAATGTTCACAAGCAGTGCGTAATAAATGTTCCCAGCCTCTGTGGAATGGATCACACAGAGAAGAGGGGACGGATTTACCTGAAGGCCGAGGTCACGGATGAAAAGCTCCACGTCACAGGTAATGCTTGTCTTGGAGCATGTTTTTAAGGCCAAGGTCCCGTCAAGGGAGGGTGAGACCTGGCCGAGCCGCCGTGACCCCTCCCAACGTTGGTAATGACTGTATTGTCACCTCTCCAAGCCCATCAAGTGTGGGTTAACCCATCTCTAGGAGACTGGACTCTGTACCCCAATTCCCCCATTCTCAGTGTCGTGCAGGTCACAGCCTCTGTGTGCATCAGGGTGCAGAGCATGACCAGGGTGCTCTCCCTCCAGGGACAGCGGAACAAGGAAGCCAGCTGACCCAAACACTGTTGCTGAGAGCAGAGCTAGGGCAGGTGAGGGGACGGTGGGAGATCCAGCGCTCAGTGGCCCTGAGCCGTGATAACCTGCTGAATCTGCCTGAACGATGCAGCCTGTGGCTGTGCGCATGTGCTCCCCTGTGCCAGGCGTGGTCCTGGAAATGTCACCCAGCTTATGTGGTCCTCACCGCTGCCTGATTGCTAGCCTCATTCTCCAGCAGAGGAAATGGAGCCTTAGGAATATGGTCATTTATACCACAGCAGTTAGTGAAGAGCCAGGACTGAAGCTAAGTTGCAGCAGACTTCAGACCCCTGCCGCTATCTCTTGCCAGTCTACGCACCTCCTACCAGGGCCCAGCCACAGGCCGAATTCGCTGTCCGGGTCCAGCACACACCCTGCTGGGCCTCCACCATATTCTGGTTTTTCCTTAGGCCTTCCCAGCAAGTCTTGTACCACCATGCTGAAGCCTATGGCTCAAGTTCCCTGGCACTGTCGTGGCCTGGGACCTAGCCTGCACCCTGAGTTTGTCTTCACTTCTCTGTGCCCTGACCCACTCACATCGGCTCATGGCTTAAGTCTGCCGTCAGCCTTATTCCCTTGCCCTCCAGTCTCCATCCTGCCCACCCACATGCTCGTTCTTTGACAAGTGCACTCATTTTTGTCTGATTGATAAAGGTATTATGCTTTCATTTTTATTTAAAACTTTTAAGCTGCCATATGTGTTAGAGAAATTAACTTTAATGCTACTTGCTTGTGAATAACAGAAGATACCCTGACAGAAAGGCTGGATAGGCCGGAGGTGGAGCTCAGTGGCACAGTACCTGCCTGGCAAGTGTGAGGTCATGAGTTCAATTCCTGGTACCACAAGAGAGGGGGTGGGGAGGCTGGATGGCATTGGTTTAAGGAAAAAAAGGAAGGAGAAGAGTTCTAGGACAGGCTTATTATGAAAACATCCTCATGTTTTTTTTAAATTAAGCACCTTTCTACCCAGTGCTGTCCTCTCAGGAAAGCTGCAGAGAAACCAAAGGACTGGGGCATCGCTAGGAGAGAGGCAGCACAGCTGCCCGTGGGGCCCCGCATGGAATGAGCCAGCTGCTCGGCAAGGTGGAGTTGTGCGGGGACTCCTTAGGCCAAGGCCCTCTTTGGACTTCTGTGTTTTAGAGAAGTTTCTTTGTTCTTGGCCTGTGCGGTTAAACCCCTGCACTTGGGGCTGTGGCTCCTCCTTCCACTTCCTTTTCACTCAGCCCACGCTGTCCCTGGAGTCCACTTTGTCCCCCTCTGCTGATAACTAGGGCCGCTCTGACTGCACCCAGGCCTGGAGGAAGTGAGGTTCCTTGGGGACCAGAAGAGACTTGGTGTTGGGATATAGCACAGCTGCCCTCTTGTTCTCCTGCTTCTCTCTAAGGCCCCCAGATTGCAACCTCCATATACT